ATTTCAATAAAATTAGTCACCAAAAACATAGAAAGCTGAGATCAATAGGATCGTGGGAAACTTTTCATATCAAGCAAGTAAAGCTTTTGATACAAATTGCAGCTCGATGATGCTCAGAAGAGGTGAGACTGTAACCGGTAAAAGATGTGCAAGTCCATCAACAGTTATCAAGCGGTTGAAACATGTAAAATCTACCCATAATCCTTGTCGTTCTCCCAACCAAATAAAATTCTGCAATTTTATATATATATGCAGCGATATGCAGAAATTCTGATCCAACCAAGTATATAGTATATGACTATGTCGGGTGCATTATCGCATCTATTCAAATCAAAAACAAAAGTAATTTCCAAAAACCTCAGTATACCGGAACCCCCGCAAAACCGGAAATTTTTATCGGTCCAAGCACTGTCCGGTATAGAGGGGTTTTACTGTAAAAGTAGTCCTTAACATATATCCTGCAGAAAAATATTTTACCTAGAAGGATAGTAGTGCAACGAAAAACGTTTGTTTATAATAGACTCAACAGAGCAGCCATATTGCTCAATCTTTACATAAACGTGGACATACGCAGTCAAATTAGCGCCCTGTTGATGAACACTAGCAGTGCGGTCGAAACGTCGCGGTTCTCCCAACTGCCACAATCGTGAGATAAATGAATAAGTATAATCTTTGATTTATATTCACGATGCATAATCTGTTCCATTCTATGCTTAAATATGTTTGCTTAACCAAAACGTTTGTGCAATACATTATGTCTCTGATACAATAGAAAATAAGCAAGACAAAAAAAGTTATCTTTTAAGGTAGTACCGGATCTCCAAAATTCTTCTACGAATTTTTTTTTTTTAATTCTGTCATTTGAAGTTCATTTTTAGGGTATTAAAATAACGAAAAAAAAGAGAAGGGGGTCACCCTATTGGTTATCGAGATATAAGGCTTCAAAAAGGAGGGATTTTTCAGTTTTCTGCGCGTTTTCGCCGAAAATCTGCCTCTTCTAATAAATTCGAATTACTCGAATCGATTTAACAAAGAAAAAACAGAAAACTGTTTTAAACTATAGGTGTTGAGTCTAGGAAACATATCTAGATAAAAAAATCCATCCAATCTTTTGCAAGTAGTGTGAAAAGTTAATTCTAGAAGCGAAATTGCTTGTAATTCGGTGCAGTTATATGCGTGTGTAGTTGTAAAAATGTTGAAAATTTATGACAATTCTTTCAATGAACTTTTTTTTCCGCACTAAATCCAAAGAAAATGATATCTAGCTTCGAATGAAAAGAAAAAAATTTGGGGGTCGCCGTACTAATAGACGAGCTATGAGCGACTAAATCCCAGTTTTTGGTCAAAAAACACAAATCCTGTCCGCGCGGGACTGGGTTCTAGTACATTAACCTTCGTCTGAAGCATGTCAAATCGTCTTTGTAGTCTCCAGATAATCTAAGACGTATTTCGAATTGATTTTGGAATAACATATCAAATTCATTTTTTGTTTCTTCATTTTTATAAAGTTATGAATTTGTTGAGTGGTCAGCGGTCATCGGCCGAGATGGACGTGTGTGGAAACGCTCCGCGCTAAATTCAAGAATTTTTGGTATTTTTTCTCTATTTGTGCCTATTATTTTTCGTTTGATGTCTGTTTATACCATGAGCTTCACACAAGAAGATTTTCATTACCTGCTCGAAAAAGAATTGGGGCCTGTTCGTTTGTCAATGCAGTTTATTAACTCTCAATATGAAGCAATGGCCTCCAAAGTGAAAGCTTTGGAAGAACAAAACTCGGCACTTAAAATTAAAAACAACGCTCTCAATAGTCAGATCATAGCTGTAAATGATACAGTCAATCAACAATCGCTCCAAATCGATGAAATCGAGCAGTACTCAAGACGAGATTGCTTAGAGTTTAAAGGGATTCCTCTAAGAGACTCAGAAGATACTGACGACATCGTGTTAGAAATAGCTGATCTTCTGGACATTGACATCGAGAGAAAGGATATATCTGTTAGCCATAGGCTACCTGTTAGTAAAAGACAACCTTCTGATACCAACCATGGTAAACCTGAACCACCAATTATCATTGCGAAATTCGTCCGAAGAGAGATCAAGGAAAAGCTGTACAAAGCTAGAAATCAATTGAAAGGCAAAAGCTCCAAAGACCTCGAAGGTGCAAATGCTTGGGATAATGACAATAGCATCTTTATATGGAAAAAATAAATAACATTGATAAGGAAAACAAAAATTTTATTCTCATGGGGGATTTCAATATTAATTTGCTAAATTTTCAAACGCATCCTGATACTGATAATTTTGTTAATACACTTGGCTCATTTTCTTTTCACCCTCAAATTCTTAAACCGACTAGAATTACAAATCACTCGGCAACCCTTATTGATAACATCTTTTTTTTCTTGAAAATCAAGTCATAAGTGGTACATCCTATGTGACATTACAGATCATCTCCCTAACTTCTTAATCGTGTGTAGGCTTTCTACTACCTGTAAAAAGCCAACAAATATATATAAAAGATACTATTTTAAACTGAACATAGAAGCCCTTCTCAATGATATGAGCAATATTGACTGGCATGAAAAGCTTTACTTTCCCCAAGGAGGAAATGCTAATGCCCATATTAATACCTTGTTTCAATCCTTTTTTCACACTTCCTCTGAGATTATTGATAAACATGTCCCTTTTCGCAAAGTCACTAGACGTGAAATTAAGATCTCTTCCAAACCTTGGATTACCCCTAGAATTTCAACTTCAATGAGAATTAGGAATAAACTTTTACAAAAGCATCTTAACTTAGGCAGTGCATATTACCATTCTAAGTATAAATTTTATCGTAATAAGATAACTCAACTCATAAGGACTAGTAAAAGAAATTACTATAATGATTATTTTTCTAGAAATTCAAAAAATATCAAGAAAACTTGGTCTGGTATTAAAGAAATCATCTCCTTAAAAGCAAAGGGCTCTAACCCACTGCCTTCAAAGTTTATTCTTAATGATCAAGCTATTACTGACCCTAAGACCATTGCTTTATCATTTAATGCATTTTTTCTAATATTGGGAGAACATTAGCA